AAAGCAAAGAGGAATAACATTAAGCAATATACAGTGATATTTAGGTGATGCTCCAAGAAAACTTATCAATGAAATGAAATTAAATATATGGGAAATACAAAGAGCAATATAGCTATTGACCACAAAGCCTTACCCGCAAGAAAAGGCTTGTAGATGGAACAGGGAAAGTGCAGGTGTGTATGACCCTCTTGCTTGCGACCAGCAGTGCGTAAAGTTCATTGTTCGTACCCAGGAGATATTACATAGTGTGAGTACAGACGCATGGGAAACTTGTTAAGCATAGTCAAAGCTTGCAGGAGGGGAAAAAGAAGTTGGAACGTATACCAGTGTTAAGAGACAATTTTAGAAATGAAAGAAATGTGACCCTTTGAAGAAAGATTCTGATCACCTCAAGTTTGCAGCTACGACTTTATTAATAAGAGTATCATCGGTCTTAAGGAGCAGCAACACTGTATTGTCGGGATATTGGATATAAGTAGATTTGTTGAAGAGAAATGAAATGTGTTTTGGTGCAGCTCAAGGAAGGTTTGTTGGCCTGCATGTAGGCCGGATAGATAATGCCGGGAGCTTGGACTCCCGGAAGTCAGTACGCAGTAAATAAGACATTGTGAGGCGTAGACCTACCGTATTTATCAAAATAATAATTCTGTTAACCTTTTTTATCCTTAACAACCAAGACAAAGGTTTGAGCTTGTAAAGTTCAGCTACGATATTTGTTTACTGTAAAATGATCAGGAAATACAAATTATTGTGTCCCAGCAAATCTCATGCAAAATGAGCGACATGCAACGGACCTACAAAATGTGAACAAAGTCCATATTCAGTAAAGAAATTATATATGTACTTTCTCCTTCAAGAAAGGAAGCATGTGCTTATTAAAAGGAAAATGTTTTTGTATGTTCACATCTGTCACAAAAAAAGTAAGATTCACCTCTTCCTGTCATTTGGATTGGTTGTTCAGTCTTCAAATTCATGTCTTCAAAACATCCTGCCAAACAAGGAGAAACATGAGTGCACACCATTCAGTGAATTTGATGGAAATAATTTTGAAATCGGTCCAAAAAAGACTTCCAATGCCATCGTGATTTCTGTTCTCTTCTTGAGGTAGTTCTTCTTATTGTCGTTCCGTTTATCCGCAAAATATTCCTCGTTACAATTGTCACTTCATTAAATGCTAAAGCGTGCGACACAAAGTCAGTCGTATTTGTGATTCGGCCCAAACCTAAATTCCCCTGCTTTTAGGAATAAGTCGCTCTGTAACCATCGTGGAGGAAACTAAGCGCCGGCTGTAATAATCATTTAAAAATCTCCTGGTAGAACATCGTAGACACTTTCGAAATAAAAATTCTTTTTCCATGATATGGCGAACCGCTTCCTATACTGACGACGGGAATGTTTTATGACGGAAATATCCCAGCACTCCTCCATTTCGTGAGAACGTATGAAACGCAACAAGTTTAAGTCAAAGTGAACAAAAAGCCCAGACGGTTGATTCAATTCATCTTAACCGAGCCAGCCGAAAGTTCACTGAAAGATCAGACAGAACCTTTTCATATAACCAAGGCTTGACTATTGATAAACGAGAGATTGCCAACATGGGTGTACCTGTCGTGGCCTTATTGGCTGGCATTCGCTTGAACAAAAACGCACACACAGTGACATTGCCGCGCAGTCGTTCGTCAACAACGTTAACTATGCATGCAATACAATAGAGTTAGGATTTTGCTTATACCTGTTTGACAAAATAGAATGTGATTTTTGTGACTGTTGAAAAGATGTGAAAAATATGCCTAGACTCCAGATTCACTTCACGGGGACACAAAAATGATGACGTATGCGTTTGTGCTGTATTTTGCCGTTGCGAAACCTGTTTTGTTAATCAGCCTTGGCATGGCTGCTGTTTTCTTTGATATCGAACGGAGCGTTAAACACAAAGTTTATCTCAGTCTCCAAATTTCATTTTAATGCTCGATGTGGATTCAGAGGTAGAGGTGATCTATTTCAAAAAACAAAAAAAAACCAACAAAAAATTGTACAAAAGCATAATAATACTCAGCAGATTCACGCAAAATGCCCGCCAAAATATTGCTTTCAATATTGCACCTCCTTAAATATTTGCGAGGTGCATGTATATACTTGGAGTAAATCTGTATTTGGGAGTGGCCTATTGGGGATGACAGATGGGGGACCGGAAATCGTTTGACACTGTCACCCCTCTCCAGAGCCAAGTGTTATACCACTGTCAACGTTTTTTTTAATTAGTCGCGAACTGATCACGTGATGTGCTGCAAGCATTTTAAAGTCTGTTTCCTTCTTGTTTAGAACACGTTTAAATCTTCCTGGGGTCTTTACAACTGAACATGTTACAGCTGCAAATATGTCGATTTATGACCCTGATACAACAGACCTTTTTGTGATCCGACCTCAACGTGCATGGTGTGCTATAAAAACGTTAATGAAAGCGCTGGTGAAACTTCCTCCAACTTTCAACTTCCTTTTAGGGGCTGCACTAGTGGCAGGCAGGATGGAAAGAAACAGAAGAACCTCCGATTCCGAAAATCTGCACTAAATATTTGACTAAGGCTTGAAAAAGCCTTAAAATGCGCAAGGTAGCTACAGAGCGATAAAAGAGGTACAGAGGTGAAAAACTTTGTTATCTTGCAACACTGATATTAGAGAAAATGATTCAACGGAATCAAGCTAAGATTTACTTTGCGATGGGAGACAATGCTCGGTGGTTGAGTGGTTTGAAGACGTCTGCACTAGTACACAGGAGGCAATGGGATTGAATTCCCACCCAAGCAAACAAGATCACCCGAAATAGTGAAAAACACATGTACTCACTGTGGGGATTCTATTGAGAATGTAATACAGTGTCGTAACTTATTGCTCTTGTCACATTGAAGCACACGCAGAAAAAGGACACATCTTCTTTTGCCCATTCAGAGTGTACAAATTCTCAAGTAAATGTATAACTATACAATGCAACGTCCATCTATTTCCTGGAGGAAAATAACCGTCGGCTGTAATAATCATCTAAAGATGTGCCGGTAGAGCATCGTAGACACTTTCGAAATAAAAATACTTTTTTCATGATTTGGTGAACCGCTTCCTATACTGACGACAGAAATGTTTTATGACGGAAATATCCCAGCACTCCTCCATTTCGTGAGAACGTATACGAAACACAACAGACCCAAGTTAAAGTGAACAAAAAGTCCAGACGGTTGATTCCATTCATCTTATCCGAGCCAACCGAAAGTTCACTGAAAGATCAGACAGAACCTTTTCACAACCCAGCCTTGACTACTGGTAAATGTGAGATTGCCAACACCGATGTACCTGCCCGTAGCTTTATTGGCTGGCATTCGCTCGATCAACGCACGCAATGCGACAATGCCGCACACTCGTTCGTCAACAGCCTTAACTATGTATGCATTAAATTACTCTCGAAAGAACACTCTATTCAAAAAAGTGCCGATTATTCTTAAAAGAATAATATACAGTTTGGAGATTCTTCAAACACTGATAGATTAAACTTGCCTTGATAGACACATAAAAGGTACTTGAGACATTTAATTACGTCAAACACGGTGAGAAACACTCTCAAAAATTAAGTACATCGCTTTATAGATATTACGGTTGGCGCTCTGTCTGAATGTTTAGATTCGACGCGGTAACATTTTCTGTTGACATTAGCGATTTTTAGTTAAATTGAACCGCTCCTTTTATTGCACTAGTACTTTTTAATGTGACTCGTTCATTTTTACATACCCCTTCCATTTTAGTTTCATTTTCTTTTTTTCCATTTCAATCATTTAAATTTATGTCTTAGTAAGTTACGTATAATTTTTATTATTTTTACATGTATCATTTTTCTTCGTGTATTTTATTATTAAAAAATTCACATTTAACCACCTTACTTTCGGTCAAACGTGTTGACTCTTTCTCTGTTATTAAACAATTTTTAAAGGCAACTTCAACTGTAACAATTCATACGTAATTATGCAAAACAGATTAATCATTCAGAAACTTACATAACATACTTCCCAGATGAATAAGATGATAT